CTCACGTCTGTCTGTCACACGAAACAACTCACGTCTGTCACACGAAACAACTCACGTCTGTCTGCCACACGAAACAACTCACGTCTGTCACACGAAACAACTCACGTCTTTCACACGAAACAACTCACGTCTGCCACACGAAACAACTCACGTCTGTCACACGAAACAACTCACGTCTGTCACACGAAACAACTCACGTCTGTCTGTCACACGAAACAACTCACGTCTGTCACACGAAACAACTCACGTCTGTCACACGAAACAACTCACGTCTGTCACACGAAACAACTCACGTCTGTCTGTCACACGAAACAACTCACGTCTGTCACACGAAACAACTCACGTCTGTCTGTCACACGAAACAACTCACGTCTGTCACATGAAACAACTCACGTCTGTCTGTCACACGAAACAACTCACGTCTGTCTGTCACACGAAACAACTCACGTCTGTCACATGAAACAACTCACGTCTGTCTGTCACACGAAACAATTCACGTCTGTCTGTCACACGAAACAACTCACGTCTGTCTGTCACACGAAACAACTCACGTCTGTCTGTCACACGAAACAACTCACGTCTGTCTGTCACACGAAACAACTCACGTCTGTCTGTCACACGAAACAACTCACGTCTGTCTGTCACACGAAATAACTCACGTCTGTCTGTCACACGAAACAACTCACGTCTGTCACACGAAACAACTCACGTCTGCCACACGAAACAACTCACGTCTGTCACACGAAACAACTCACGTCTGCCACACGAAACAACTCACGTCTGTCACACGAAACAACTCACGTCTGTCTGTCACACGAAACAACTCACGTCTGTCACACGAAACAACTCACGTCTGTCACACGAAACAACTCACGTCTGTCACACGAAACAACTCACGTCTGCCACACGAAACAACTCACGTCTGTCACATGAAACAACTCACGTCTGTCTGTCACACGATACAACTCACGTCTGTCACATGAAACAACTCACGTCTGTCACATGAAACAACTCACGTCTGTCACACGAAACAACTCACGTCTGTCACACGAAACAACTCACGTCTGTCACACGAAACAACTCACGTCTGTCACACGAAACAACTCACGTCTGTCACACGAAACAACTCACGTCTGTCTGTCACACGAAACAACTCACGTCTGTCACACGAAACAACTCACGTCTGTCTGTCACACGATACAACTCACGTCTGTCACATGAAACAACTCACGTCTGTCACATGAAACAACTCACGTCTGTCACACGAAACAACTCACGTCTGTCACACGAAACAACTCACGTCTGTCACACGAAACAACTCACGTCTGTCACACGAAACAACTCACGTCTGTCACACGAAACAACTCACGTCTGTCTGTCACACGAAACAACTCACGTCTGTCACACGAAACAACTCACGTCTGTCACACGAAACAACTCACGTCTGTCACACGAAACAACTCACGTCTGTCACACGAAACAACTCACGTCTGTCTGTTACATGAAACAACTCACGTCTGTCACACGAAACAACTCACGTCTGTCTGTCACACGAAACAACTCACGTCTGTCTGTCACACGAAACAACTCACGTCTGTCTGTCACACGAAACAACTCACGTCTGTCTGTCACACGAAACAACTCACGTCTGTCACACGAAACAACTCACGTCTGCCACACGAAACAACTCACGTCTGTCTGCCACACGAAACAACTCACGTCTGTCACACGAAACAACTCACGTCTGTCACACGAAACAACTCACGTCTGCCACACGAAACAACTCACGTCTGTCACGTGAAACAACTCACGTCTGTCTGTCACACGAAACAACTCACGTCTGTCTGTCACACGAAACAACTCACGTCTGTCACATGAAACAACTCACGTCTGTCTGTCACACGAAACAACTCATGTCTGTCTGTCACATGAAACAACTCACGTCTGTCTGTCACACGAAACAACTCACGTCTGTCTGTCACACGAAACAACTCACGTCTGTCACACGAAACAACTCACGTCTGTCACACGAAACAATTCACGTCTGTCACACGAAACAACTCACGTCTGTCACACGAAACAACTCACGTCTGTCACACGAAACAACTCACGTCTGTCTGTCACACGAAACAACTCACGTCTGTCACACGAAACAACTCACGTCTGTCACACGAAACAACTCACGTCTGTCACACGAAACAACTCACGTCTGTCTGTCACACGAAACAACTCACGTCTGTCACATGAAACAACTCACGTCTGTCTGTCACACGAAACAACTCACGTCTGTCACACGAAACAACTCACGTCTGTCACACGAAACAACTCACGTCTGTCACACGAAACAACTCACGTCTGTCTGTCACACGAAACAACTCACGTCTGTCACACGAAACAACTCACGTCTGTCTGCCACACGAAACAACCCACGTCTGTCTGTCACACGAAACAACTCACGTCTGTCACACGAAACAACTCACGTCTGTCACATGAAACAACTCACGTCTGTCTGTCACACGAAACAACTCACGTCTGTCTGTCACACGAAACAACTCACGTCTGTCACATGAAACAACTCACGTCTGTCTGTCACACGAAACAACTCACGTCTGTCTGTCACACGAAACAACTCACGTCTGTCTGTCACACGAAACAACTCACGTCTGTCACATGAAACAACTTACGTCTGTCTGTCACACGAAACAACTCACGTCTGTCTGTCACACGAAACAACTCACGTCTGTCACACGAAACAACTCACGTCTGTCTGCCACACGAAACAACTCACGTCTGTCTGTCACACGAAACAACTCACGTCTGTCACACGAAACAACTCACGTCTGTCACATGAAACAACTCACGTCTGTCTGTCACACGAAACAACTCACGTCTGTCTGTCACACGAAACAACTCACGTCTGTCACACGAAACAACTCACGTCTGTCACACGAAACAACTCACGTCTGTCTGTCACACGAAACAACTCACGTCTGTCACACAAAACAACTCACGTCTGTCACACGAAACAACTCACGTCTGTCACACGAAACAACTCACGTCTGTCTGTCACACGAAACAACTCACGTCTGTCACACGAAACAACTCACGTCTGTCACACGAAACAACTCACGTCTGTCTGTCACACGAAACAACTCACGTCTGTCACACGAAACAACTCACGTCTGTCACACGAAACAACTCACGTCTGTCTGTCACACGAAACAACTCACGTCTGTCTGTCACACGAAACAACTCACGTCTGTCTGTCACACGAAACAACTCATGTCTGCCACACGAAACAACTCACGTCTGTCTGTCACACGAAACAACTCACGTCTGTCTGTCACACGAAACAACTCACGTCTGTCTGTCACACGAAACAACTCACGTCTGTCTGTCACACGAAACAACTCACGTCTGTCTGTCACACGAAACAACTCACGTCTGTCTGTCACACGAAATAACTCACGTCTGTCTGTCACACGAAACAACTCACGTCTGCCACACGAAACAACTCACGTCTGTCTGTCACACGAAACAACTCACGTCTGTCACACGAAACAACTCACGTCTGTCACTCGAAACAACTCACGTCTGTCACACGAAACAACTCACGTCTGCCACACGAAACAACTCACGTCTGTCACATGAAACAACTCACGTCTGTCACACGATACAACTCACGTCTGTCACATGAAACAACTCACGTCTGCCACACGAAACAACTCACGTCTGCCACACGAAACAACTCACGTCTGTCTGTTACATGAAACAACTCACGTCTGTCACACGAAACAACTCACGTCTGTCTGTCACACGAATAAACTCACGTCTGTCTGTCACACGAAACAACTCACGTCTGTCTGTCACACGAAACAACTCACGTCTGTCTGTCACACGAAACAACTCACGTCTGTCTGTCACACGAAACAACTCACGTCTGTCACACGAAACAACTCACGTCTGTCTGTCACATGAAACAACTCACGTCTGTCACACGAAACAACTCACGTCTGTCTGTCACACGAAACAACTCACGTCTGTCTGTCACACGAAACAACTCACGTCTGTCACACGAAACAACTCACGTCTGTCTGCCACACGAAACAACTCACGTCTGTCACACGAAACAACTCACGTCTTTCACACGAAACAACTCACGTCTGCCACACGAAACAACTCACGTCTGTCACACGAAACAACTCACGTCTGTCAAACAACTCACGTCTGTCTGTCACACGAAACAACTCACGTCTGTCACACGAAACAACTCACGTCTGTCACACGAAACAACTCACGTCTGTCTGTCACACGAAACAACTCACGTCTGTCACACGAAACAACTCACGTCTGTCTGTCACACGAAACAACTCACGTCTGTCACATGAAACAACTCACGTCTGTCTGTCACACGAAACAACTCACGTCTGTCTGTCACACGAAACAACTCACGTCTGCCACACGAAACAACTCACGTCTGCCACACGAAACAACTCACGTCTGTCTGTCACACGAAACAACTCACGTCTGTCTGCCACACGAAACAACTCACGTCTGTCTGTCACACGAAACAACTCACGTCTGTCACACGAAACAACTCACGTCTGTCTGTCACATGAAACAACTCACGTCTGTCTGTCACACGAAACAACTCACGTCTGTCTGTCACACGAAAGAACTCACGTCTGTCTGCCACACGAAACAACTCACGTCTGTCACACGAAACAACTCACGTCTGTCACACGAAACAACTCACGTCTGTCACACGAAACAACTCACGTCTGTCACATGAAACAACTCACGTCTGTCTGTCACATGAAACAACTCACGCCTGTCACACGAAACAACTCACGTCTGTCTGTCACACGAAACAACTCACGTCTGTCACACGAAACAACTCACGTCTGTCACATGAAACAACTCACGTCTGTCTGTCACATGAAACAACTCACGCCTGTCACACGAAACAACTCACGTCTGTCACACGACCCTATCCGCAGGTGTCAACCTTGGTCAGCTGTCTGGGACCGTCTCACCCTCTGTCCAGTCGCCCGACGTCACGGTGGACGGGGAGTGGGGTGAGGGCGTGGGGTGTATGACGTCAGGTGGGGATCACAACACGTCTGATTGGGAAGTGACCTTCGATAAGGAAGTCGTCATCCATGAGATCGTTATACGCAGAACTCTTAGTGAGTACTCGGGCTTTTGTCATGTCTTTGATTATGGCAAGTTTTTGTCGTCTTTGATTATGGCAGGTTTTTGTCGTCTTTGATTATGGCAAGTTTTTTGTCGTCTTTGATTATGACACGTTTTTGTCGTCTTTGATTATAGCAAGCTATTGTCAAGTCTTTCAATGATAGCGTAAGAGTTGTGTGATGACAGTTTTAGCTAACCATATAACGTCCCTTCCTGTTTTGTCACGTGACCAGGAGAAGGCGGCCATCACTTTATGGACGGGTTTCAGATCGAGGCTCTAGACACGCACTCACGTCCAGTATTCCTGCACGTGGACCAGGATCCGGACAGTCCGAACAGCGTGCACGTCTTCACGCGCACACAAAGTCCGGTCGTCAAGGTCAAGATATCAATGCCGGGTCCGGCTCTTCCTGAGAAATTCCTCGAGATTTGCGAGATCGAAATCTACGGAGGCAAGCGTTGATGTGTCGTTGTTGTCTGTCGTTTTGATGTGTCGTTATTGTCTGTCGTGTTGATGTGTCGTGTTGTTGTCTGTCGTGTTGTTGTCTGTCGTGTTGATGTGTCGTGTTGTTGTCTGTCGTGTTGATGTGTCGTGTTGTTGTCTGTCGTGTTGATGTGTCGTGTTGTTGTGTGTCGTGTTGTTGTCTGTCGTTTTGATGTGTCGTGTTGTTGTCTGTCGTGTTGATGTGTCGTGTTGTTGTCTGTCGTGTTGATGTGTCGTGTTGTTGTCTGTCGTGTTGATGTGTCGTGTTGATGTGTTGTTGTTGTCTGTCGTGTTGATGTCTGTCGTGTTGATTAGCTATAAGTATATGCAGCAATATTGCTATGAACAGATTAGCTATAGGTAGCAATGTTGCTATGAACAGATTAGCTATAGGTAGCAATGTTGCTATGAACAGATAAGCTATAGGTAGCAATGTTGCTATGAACAGATTAGCTATAGGTAGCAATGTTGCTATGAACAGATTAGCTATAGGTAGCAATGTTGCTATGAACAGATTAGCTATAGGTAGCAATGTTGTTATGAACAGATTAGCTATAGGTAGCAATGCTGCTATGAACAGATTAGCTATAGGTAGCAATGTTGCTATGAACAGATTAGCTATAGGTAGCAATGTTGCTATGAACAGATTAGCTATAGGTAGCAATGTTGTTATGAACAGATTAGCTATAGGTAGCAATGCTGCTATGAACAGATAAGCTATAGGTAGCAATGTTGCTATGAACAGATTAGCTATAGGTAGCAATGTTGCTATGAACAGATTAGCTATAGGTAGCAATGCTGCTATGAACAGATCAGCTATAGGTAGCAATGCTGCTATGAACATATTAGCTAAATACCTGCCTAACTAGGATTTCGACCTCATGAGCAGCTTAAGAATAAGATGTACGTTGGGAGTTCTTGGTATAAATCTACACGCAATCTATAGAATTTGCTTTGCAAACCTTTCGCATGGTGTAGATACTTTTTTTAAGAAACTGAATCTTCAGTCTTTAATCTAAAACTTGAGAAAGAAGCACACCAAACTTTGAACCTTGATCTCCACAGACTGCGCCCCACCACACTACGGACTCACGTGTGAGCACGTGTGTGGCGCGTGCCCCCACAAGATGTGCCACTACAACGGTGACTGCGTGTTGCGTAAAGGTAGGGTGTACTTCATGGTGTGGTGTACGTCATCACTCCATGGTGTTTTGTACGTCAACACTTCATGGTGTTTTGGTGTACGTCATCACTCCATTGTGTTTTGATGCACGTCATCACTCCATGATGTTTTGGTGTACGTCATCACTACAAGGTGTTTTGGTGTACGTCATCACTCCATGGTGTTTTGGTGTACGTCATCACTGCATGGTGTTTTGGTGTACGTCATCACTCCATGGTGTTTTGGTGTACGTCATCATTCCATGGTGTTTTGTACGTCATCACTTCATGGTGTTTTGATGTACGTCATCACTCCATTGTGTTTTGGTGTACGTCATCACTCCATGGTGTTTTGGTGTACGTCATCACTCCATGGTGTTTTGGTGTACGTCATCACTCCATGGTGTTTTGGTGTACGTCATCACTCAGTGGTGTACGTCATCACTCCATGGTGTTTTGGTGTACGTCATCACTCAGTGGTGTACGTCATCACTCCATGGTGTTTTGGTCTACGTCACTCCATGGTCAGCCTTAGAAAGCAGATGTACAGGTGACTAACAAGTTATACATGTGGCAAAGATTTGAACTTAAAATGTCAAGTGTTTTGATCTTGACGTGAGGACACAAATGTGACCTAAAGCTGACCGCTATTGCACTGACCTGGTTTCATGTGACAGTTGCTTGGTCTCACGCATGACTAATCCGATCTTAATCATTTGACCTGATATGTTTCAAAATGACATTCGTGTGTCCATGACCTAGATTTTATCTTAATAATTTTCTTGTCACACAAAAAAAATTACCTTGATTTGATCAGAATCAAATCACGACCTTGACTTGACCTAAAACGACCTTGATCTTGGTCTGACCGGCTGACCTGCTATGATGTGACCTCTGTTCCAGAGCCCCCCGGTAAGCCCGACCCTGGCGTGAAGCGGATGATCCTGCTGGCCTGTATCGGCGTGACGCTGGTGGCCATTGTGGCCAGCTCCTACTTCTGCTGCAGGGCCACGGACAAATACAGCGAGCATGCGGACAGCGTCCAGCCAGAGGAGGTCAAGGTCGTTCCACCCGAGCCCGAACTCCATGAGGCTAAAGGTATGTCACACACAGGTAGACAAATGATGCCCGAACTCCATGAGGCTAAAGGTATGTCACACACAGGTAGACAAATGATGCCCGAACTCCATGAGGCTAAAGGTATGTCACACACAGGTAGACAAATGATGCCCGAACTCCATGAGGCTAAAGGTATGTCACACACAGGTAGACAAATGATGCCAGGTGGGGGGGGGGGAATAGAGGTACAGGTAGACAAATGATGCCCGAACTCCATGAGGCTAAAGGTATGTCACACACAGGTAGACAAATGATGCCCGAACTCCATGAGGCTAAAGGTATGTCACACACAGGTAGACAAATGATGCCAGGTGGGGGGGGGGGGGAATAGAGGTACAGGTAGACAAATGATGCCAGGTGGGGGATGGAGGTACAGGTAGACAAATGATGCCAGGTGGGGGATGTACAGGTAGACAAATGATGCCAGGTGGGGGATGGAGGTACAGGTAGACAAATGATGCCAGGTGGGGGATGTACAGGTAGACAAATGATGTCAGGTGGGGGATGGAGGTACAGGTAGACAAATGATGCCAGGTGGGGGATGGAGGTACAGGTAGACACATGATGCCAGGTGGGGGGTGGAAGTAGTACCTACAGGAGACATGTTTTACCACCTGCAATGCAAGCTAAAGCGTCAATCGGTGTTTGCATTACATAAAGGTTGCGGACTGATGAAGGTACATATGTACTGTACACAACTTATCCCACATGGTAATTAAAAACTTCCGCACCAAAAGAAAGTGTCTGTGTAACAGTGAAATAGGATTAGTACCGTCACTTAAAAAAAAAGAATTAAATTAAGCATCTTACTATGTCAAAGAATACGTCAAATAGACCTAAGTGAAACAATTTAGTTTGATAGAAAGTAGAAGCGTGCATGTTAGACCCGCGTTGGAGAGAAAAGTAAAACTTAGTAAAAGAAATCAAATTAAACAAAAGTTTGTAATATTTATAGCTTACGTTTGTGGATAGGAGTTACGGCAGAAATTAAAACATATATTGATGGAAATAAATGTACTAAAACCAGTCCCATAGACAACCGCGGTCAAACACAACTTCTTTCCCCAGGCCTTAAGACCTTCCGTAGTGACACCGACGTAGACACGGGTAAAAGCACCACCACCCTGCCGGTAGAGAAAAGCGGCACCACCGTGCAGACGGGCTCAGACGACTCTTCCGTGCTGCACTTTCTCAAGGTGCTCCACGCGGAGGAGTCAAGGACCACCGCCTCCACCTCCACCACATCGGTCAGCACTCAACAGTCACAGCCATCCGTCACACCAGCGGCCAACCGCCCCCCTACTCCGGCGGTCAGCCGTACAGCTACTCCGGCGGTCAATCGTGACGTCACACCAGCGGCCAACCGTACAGCTACTCCGGCGGTCACACCAGCGGCCAACCGTACAGCTACTCCGGCGGTCAATCGTCCCACTACTCCAGCTTCCAACCGATAACCTTACATCTCGACTGCTGACAAATTTTAGCCCCACCTTTACATGCCATGGTTGTTAGACTTGTTTTTATTTTTTTTACTTTCATAAACTAAATAAAATGAGAGAGCCGAATCAATCCCAGTGGCTAAAAACGAATCTCCCTCACAATCCAGATGTACCATGTAATTATAATGTATACCAGTTTGTTGATGTATATTTCACGCACGATTAGATTTACTACTATTACTTTTGTGATTTACCAGTCTTAATTTAACATTGAAATAAAAATTTGAAATAGAGATCTACAGGCTCTCATTAGAGCCAGCTAATAAATATAGCGACGGAGTCCTTTTTTTTTTCATTTATTTTAAAAAAGTGTCAACCAAATTTAGCCATGATCATAGCAATGCTCGTATTATTAAAATACCGATAACTAAAGCCAGCGACGGGAAACAATTCAGTATTTACCAAAGAATATATTCTTGTTACCTGCAGTTTCAGTTACCTCCCCTAGGATCAATGAAAGTATGGATGGCTTTGTTTTTTTTTTTTCAAGTTTAAGCTTTACTACACTTTGATCCGGTTGCCATGAAACTTTGGGGGAGTGGACAGTTTCTTCCAGGCATCTTTTTGAAATTTATATAGAAAATATATACTTTTAACAGTGTCCGCCCCCAGAAGAAAGTCTAATAGATGAAGTAATTAGAAGCGTCGTCCCGGGTTCCCAAGCGGCTATCTTAGCATTTGGTATCCGTTAATGGGGGTACATCTAGATTTTAGTGGTAACGGCTAGAGTAAAACTTCACCGGGCACATCCGCTGGCGCCCCAGTTATTGATCACTGAGTGACATCGGCATCGGCAGTTTCTTCCAGGCATAACTTCCGGGGGGGGGGAGGGACAAAACCACCCCCTTTCCCCGAACGAAATGGAATTAATATAGAAAACATACTTTTAACAGCGTCCTCAAACCCCCCTCTCCCCCCCCCCACCCGGGGAGAAAAAAGTCTGGGGAAAAACACTGGACCCGGCCCCCCCCCCCCCTTGTGGGCACTTTGGATACGATGGGCTACTAGTACTAAAATCGTTCACTTAACCGAATAGGGTGTGTCCTGTACCCGGCAGGGGACAATTGGGTGCTGGGAGAGGGTTTATCATACCACTAGTTTATGTCTAGGTTTGTGCTGAGGGTTAGGGTTTGTGGGAGAGGGTTTATCATAGTTTATGTCTAGGTTTGTGCTGAGGGTTAGGGTTTGTGGGAGAGGGTTTATCATAGTTTATGTCTAGGTTTGTGCTGAGGGTTAGGGTTTGTGCTGAGGGTTTATCATACCACTAGTTTATGTCTAGGTTTGTGGTGAGGGCTAGGGTTTGTGGGAGAGGTTTTATCATACCACTAGTTTATGTCTAGGTTTGTGGTGAGGGCTAGGGTTTGTGGGAGAGGGTTTATCATAGTTTATGTCTAGGTTTGTGGTGAGGGTCAGGGTTTGTGGGAGAGGGTTTATCATAGTTTATGTCTAGGTTTGTGCTGAGGGTCAGGGTTTGTGGGAGAGGGTTTATCATAGTTTATGTCTAGGTTTGTGCTGAGGGTTAGGGTTTGTGGGAGAGGGTTTATCATAGTTTATGTCTAGGTTTGTGCTGAGGGTCAGGGTTTGTGGGAGAGGTTTTATCATAGTTTATGTCTAGGTTTGTGCTGAGGGTTACGGTTTGTGGGAGAGGTTTTATCATAGTTTATGTCTAGGTTTGTGCTGAGGGTTACGGTTTGTGGGAGAGGTTTTATCATAGTTTATGTCTAGGTTTGTGCTGAGGGTTACGGTTTGTCTTGTGGTGGGTTGCGGCTAGAGATAGGTTTAGGGTTATATTATATTATATATATTCTCAAATGTCGGTATTCTGAGCAGCGCCGGGTATAAGATCCTTAAGAAAAGCATAAAAAAAAGCCAGTCCTACAGATACATTTTTCACAAAAACCAGTGCAGATCCTGACCAGGACGGCTAGTTTTATTCATAAAACCTCAGCAGAATCTCTACGCAAAACTCAAACCGTTTTCTTTTTTACATAACGTTGTCATTGATTAAAATTAAATGTTACATAAAATGTTATAATGCACAAAAAGCAACAATGGCTATTGTTAGTTACATTCCTGTTTATTAAACATGTCATATAAATAATTGAAAGTATTAAAATATTTTCAACATATACTGAGGAGTACAGTTAACCATCCATAAAAACAAGCATACCAACAATTAGAGTCAAAGGTTTCTTCATGTCCAATCCATAGAACATGGGCAGGGTGTTGTCACGTGACATGTTCTGGGCTTTAAAAGTCACCTAGGTTATCCTCATAAAATAACACTTTAAGGCTCACACATGTCCATGATGCACTAGTCAAGTGCTGGACATCTATGACAAGTGATGGACATCTAGGTCAAATTTTATGCATCCAGGTCCTTATATACATCCAGGTCAAGTTATATACACTCAGGTTGGATATACATCCAGGTCAAGTGATGGATATCATGGTCAAGTGATGGACATCCAGGTCAAGTTATATACATCCAGTTCGTTATATACATCCAGGTCAAGTTATATACATCCAGTTCGTTATATACATCCAGTTCGTTATATACATCCAGTTCGTTATATACATCCAGGTCAAGTTATATACATCCAGGTCCTTATATACATCCAGGTCGTATGTACATCCAGGTCGTATATACACCCAGGTCAAGTTATATACATCCAGGTCAAGTTATATACATTCAGGTCATATATACATCCAGGTCGTATGTACATCCAGGTCGTATATACATCCAGGTCAAGTTATATACATCCAGGTCGTATATACATTCAGGTCAAGTTATATACATCCAGTTCCTTATATACATCCAGGTCAAGTTATATACATCCAGGTCATGTATACACCCAAGTCAAGTTATATACATCCAGGTCAAGTTATCTACATCCAGGTCATGTATACACCCAAGTCAAGTTATATACATCCAGGTCAAGTTATCTACATCCAGGTCATGTATACACCCAAGTCAAGTTATATACATCCAGGTCAAGTTATCTACATCCAGGTCATGTATACATCCAGGTCAAGTTATATACATCCAGGTCAAGTTATATACATCCATGTCAAGTGATGGACATCAAGGTCAGGTGTAGGTCACAGAGGTTAGGTCAATACATTAAAGTCAAGTCAAACCGCTGGTAAAACCCTGAACAAAAGGAGCTGGTTCAGAAGATGAAAGTCTCTCCATCAGTGACAGCGTGAGTTTGGTTGTCAGTGTCCTGTGTTGTTGCGTAGTAGCTGGAGTAGGAATAGCTGTACGTATACCCTGTAGGTCAATAGGTCAACTTATTACCCTAGAGGTCAATTTATTTTGTTACAATTAACAATGTATGTATCAGTTCCTGTAGGTCAATCTAGCAGATCTTTCATCAAGAAGAAATCAGTACAATGTGAGTATCACAGCCTGTGTATTATTACTACAATAGGTCATCAGTTATGACCTACAGAAAGTAGCAGATATGTGTAATAAAGAACTCTTTTCTTTTTTATGATGGCAGCATTGAATAGGAAAGGGAAATATTTTTTGTCAACAACTAAACTGAATGACTCATGATTTATATTTTTGATGAAAGCGGAACAACTTAGACAAGAGCAGAATTGCAGAATGAGGCACAGATTTTTTTTGTAAAACAGCAAAACAAAGCTGCTTTTACAGGGCGGTAGGCAAATCTGACCCAGTCCCACCTCAGCCTATATCGTCCAGTCCCACCTGAACCTATCTGGTCCAGTCCCACCTCAGCCTATATCGTCCAGTCCCACCTGAACCTATCTGGTCCAGTCCCACCTGGTCCAGTCCCACCTGAACCTATCTGGTCCAGTCCCACCTGAACCTATCTGGTCCAGTCCCACCTGAACCTACCTGGTCCAGTCCCACCTGAACCTATCTGGTCCAGTCCCACCTGAACCTACCTGGTCCAGTCCCACCTGAACCTATCTGGTCCAGTCCCACCTGAACCTACCTGGTCCAGTCCCACCTGAACCTATCTGGTCCAGTCCCACCTGAACCTATCTGGTCCAGTCCCCCACCTGAACCTATCTGGTCCAGTCCCCCACCTGAACCTATCTGGTCCAGTCCCACCTGAACCTATCTGGTCCAGTCCCACCTGGTCCAGTCCCACCTGAACCTATCTGGTCCAGTCCCACCTGAACCTACCTGGTACAGTCCCACCTGAACCTACCTGGTCCAGTCCCACCTGAACCTACCTGGTCCAGTCCCACCTGAACCTATCTGGTCCAGTCCCACCTGAACCTATCTGGTCCAGTCCCCCACCTGAACCTATCTGGTCCAGTCCCACCTGGTCCAGTCCCACCTGAACCTACCTGGTCCAGTCCCACCTGAACCTACCTGGTCCAGTCCCACCTGAACCTACCTGGTCCAGTCCCACCTGAACCTATCTGGTCCAGTCCCACCTCAACCTATCTGGTCCAGTCCCACCTGAACCTATCTGGTCCAGTCGCACCTGAACCTATCTGGTCCAGTCCCCCACCTGAACCTATCTGGTCCAGTCCCACCTGAACCTACCTGGTCCAGTCCCACCTGAACCTATCTGGTCCAGTCCCACCTGACCAACCCCATTTAAACCTATCTTGCCGACCCATATGAAGCTGGCGAGAGGACATCAAGAGAACATCTGACTTACCAGTGTAGTATGATAAGGAAGCCTCGCCTTCTTGTCCATCTCCTGCAAACAGACATAAATCATCAACCTTCACCTTTTGGCATAAACAATCAACCTTCACCTTTTGGCAACCTTCACCTTTTGACATAAACAATCAACCTTCACCTTTTGGCATAAACAATCAACCTTCACCTTTTGACATAAACAATCAACCTTCACCTTTTGACATAAACAATCAACCTTTACCTTTTGACATTAACAATCAACCTTCACCTTTTGATATAAACAATCAACCTTCAACTTTTGACATAAACAATCAACCTTCGCCTTTTGACATAAACAATCAACCTTCGCCTTTTGACATAAACAATCAACCTTCACCTTTTGGCAACCGTCACCTTTTGACATAAACAATCAACCTTCACCTTTTGGCATAAACAATCAACCTTCACCTTTTGACATAAACAATCAACCTTCACCTTTTGGCAACCTTCACCTTTTGACATAAACAATCAACCTTCACCTTTTGACATAAACAATCAACCTTCACCTTTTGACATAAACAATCAACCTTTACCTTTTGACATTAACAATCAACCTTCACCTTTTGACATAAACAATCAACCTTCAACTTTTGACATAAACAATCAACCTTCGCCTTTTGACATAAACAATCAACCTTCGCCTTTTGACATAAACAATCAACCTTCACCTTTTGGCAACCGTCACCTTTTGACATAAACAATCAACCTTCACCTTTTGGCATAAGCAATCAACCTTCACCTTTTGACATAAACAATCAACCTTCACCTTTTGGCAACCTTCACCTTTTGACATAAACAATCAACCTTCACCTTTTGACATAAACAATCAACCTTCACCTTTTGACATAAACAATCAACCTTCACCTTTTGGCAACCTTCACCTTTTGACATAAACAATCAACCTTCACCTTTTGAAATAAACAATCAACCTTCACCTTTTGACATAAACAATCAACCTTCACCTTTTGACATAAACAATCAACCTTCACCTTTTGACATAAACAATCAACCTTCACCTCTTGACATAAACAATCAACCTTCACCTTTTGACATAAACAATCAACCTACATTTTCTGACCACCCCACATAAGCAATTAGCCTTTGTCTCTTGACCCAAAAAGATGTTACCTGTTACTTGAGAGAGATGTATTTTCTGACCCCCCACAAAAGTATGTTACCTTTGACTTGAGAGAGATGTATTTTCTAACACCCCCCCCCCCCCACAAAAGGATGTTAATTTTGACTTGAGATGTATTTTCTGACCCCCCCCCCCCTCCCACAAAAGGATGTTACCTTTGACTTGAGAGAGATTGATTTTCTGACCCCACAAAAGGATGTTACCTTTGACTTGAGAGAGATTTATTTTCTGACCCCCACAAAAGGATGTTACCTTTGACTTGAGAGAGATTTATTTTCTGACCCCCACAAAAGGATGTTACCTTTGACTTGAGAGAGATTTATTTTCTGACCCCACAAAAGGATGTTACCTTTGACTTGAGAGAAATTTATTTTTTGACCCCCACAAAAGGATGTTACCTTTGACTTGAGAGAGATTTATTTTTTGACCCCCACAAAAGGATGTTACCTTTGACTTGAGAGAGATGTATTTTCTGACCCCCACAAAAGGATGTTACCTTTGACTTGAGAGAGATGTATTTTCCTTTTGGTTACGATCAATATGCCAAACAAGCAGGCAGCAATGGCCCCAGTTGTACATGCGGCCACAGTGGCCCAAAACAATGCTGTTGGTGGCTCCTCAAAGGTCTCATTCCTTACAGGGCTTGTAGTGGTAGGTCTAATTGTTGAGGTTGTATTTTGTGTGCTTGTTGTATTTATTGCCCTGGTAGTGTTTATTGTTGTGGTTGTGTTTATTGTTGTGGTTGTGTTTATTGTTGTGGTTGTGTTTATTGTTGTGGTTGTGTTTATTGTTGTGGTTGTGTTTATTGTTGTGGTTGTGTTTATTGCTGCGGTTGTGTTTATTGCTGCGGTTGTGTTTATTGCTGCGGTTGTGTTTATTGCTGCGGTTGTGTTTATTGTTGTGGTTGTGTTTATTGCTGCGGTTGTGTTTATTGCTGCGGTTGTGTTTATTGTTGTGGGAGATGTGATATTGGTAGTTGTGGGTGTGGTAACTGTAGAAATAAATAGACTGTGAACAACTGAACTAGATAGCTGTTGGTTATGATTACATTACCACAGCTAATAAAAACAAAAGCTATGTGCTTGATCAAGTTTTGAAATAAGAAATACTTTAGTCAGCTACTTCAGACTAATGTTTTCTCTGAAGTAAGAAGTAACATGGGGACGTGGTCAAATGGTAGAGTGTTAGGCTGCCAGCCCAAAGGTTTTAAGTTTGTATCTCAGGACTGCAGGACATCCCTGAGTCCACCCAACTCTGGTAAGTATCAGGTTCACATTAGGGAAACAAAGGTGGTTGGGCATAGTGCTGACCACACTATATCCCTGAGTCCACCCAACTCTGGTAAGTATCAGGTTCACATTAGGGAAACAAAGGTGGTTGGGCATAGTGCTGACCACACTATATCCCTGAGTCCACCCAACACTGATAAGTATCAGGTTCACATTAGGAAAACAAAGGTGGTTGGGCATAGTGCTGACCACACTATATCCCTGAGTCCACCCAACTCTGGTAAGTATCAGGTTCACATTAGGGAAACAAAGGTGGTTGGGCATAGTGCTGACCACACTATATCCCTGAGTCCACCCAACACTGATAAGTATCAGGTTCACATTAGGGAAACAAAGGTGGTTGGGCATAGTGCTGACCACACTATATCCCTGAGTCCACCCAACTCTGGTAAGTATCAGGTTCACATTAGGGAAACAAAGGTGGTTGGACATAGTGCTGACCACACTATATCCCTGAGTCCACCCAACTCTGGTAAGTATCAGGTTCACATTAGGGAAACAAAGGTGGTTGGGCATAGTGCTGACCACACTATATCCCTGTAGGCCAAGGTCTTTGAAATAGGTGAACTCTACTTCATCTGCCTCGTGTGTCTTGGCCATCAGTGGGAGAAAACACATTTTAAATGTATATAGTATCTTGAAAGATATGCAGGGGGTTAGTTGGGGCGGGTAGACAAAGCTGGAGGAGTGACCTGATACAAATTATTTATAATCTAGTTAAAACATTGTACACCTTACATGAAATGTGGCACCTTACATGAAATGTGGCACTTTACATGAAATGTGGCACCTTACATGAAATGTGGCACCTTACATGAAATGTGGCACCTTACATGAAATGTGTCACCTTACATTAAATGTGGCACTTTATATGAAATGTGTCACCTTACATTAAATGTGGCACTTTATATGAAATGTGTCACCTTACATTAAATGTGTCCCTTACATTAAATGTGTCCCCTTACATGAAATGTGTCCCTTACATTAAATGTGTCCCCTTACATGAAATGTGGTACCTTACATGAAATGTAGCACCTTACATTAAATGTAGCACCTTACATTAAATGTGGCACTTTACATAAAATGTGGCACCTTATATTAAATGTGGCACCTTACATTAAATGTAGCACCTTACATGAAATGTGGCACCTTACATGAAATGTGGCATCTTACATGAAATGTGGCACCTTACATGAAATGTGGCATCTTACATGAAATGTGGCACCTTACATTAAATGTGGCACCTTACATGAAATGTGGCATCTTACATGAAATGTGGCACCTTACATTAAATGTGGCACCTTACATGAAATGTGGTACCTTACATGAAATGTAGCACCTTACATTAAATGTAGCACCTTACATGAAATGTGGCACCTTACATGAAATGTGGCATCTTACATGAAATGTGGCACCCAACTGAAAAAGTACGTACATGTTGATGTTCTCACACAGGTGCCGTCAAGAAGACACATACTGTCAACACATGAGTCTGGACACAGGTTTTCACACTCTAGGCCATAGAAGGGGGCAGCACAATCTAGGAGCAGAAATAAGTAGGGCATTGAGAAGGGGGTATGTGTCTAGGGGCAGAAATATGTAGGGCATTGAGAAGGGGGCAGCACAATCTAGGGGCAGAAATATGTAGGGCATTGAGAAGGGGGCAGCAGTCTAGGGGCAGAAATAAGTGGGGCATTGAGAAGGGGGCAGCACAATCTAGGGGCAGAAATATGTAGGGCATTGAGAAGGGGGCAGCAATCTAGGGGCAGAAATATGTAGGGCATTGAGAAGGGGTCAGCACAATCTAGGGGCAGAAACATGTAGGGCATTGAGAAGGGGGCAGCAATCTAGGGGCAGAAATATGTAGGGCTTTGAGAAGGGGGCAGCAATCTAGGGGCAGAAATATGTAGGGCATTGAGAAGGGGTCAGCACAATCTAGGGGCAGAAATATGTAGGGCTTTGAGAAGGGGGCAGCACAATCTAGGGGCAGAAATATGTAGGGCATTGAGAAGGGGTCAGCACAATCTAGGGGCAGAAATATGTAAGGCATTGAGAAGGGGGCAGCAGTCTAGGGGCAGAAATATGTAGGGCATTGAGAAGGGGGCAGCACAATCTAGGGGCAGAAATATGTAGGGCATTGAGAAGGGGTCAGCACAATCTAGGGGCAGAAATATGTAGGGCATTGAGAAGGGGGCAGCACAATCTAGGGGCAGAAATATGTAGGGCATTGAGAAGGGGGCAGCACAATCTAGGGGCAGAAATATGTAAGGCATTGAGAAGGGGGCAGCAGTCTAGGGGCAGAAATATGTAGGGCATTGAGAAGGGGGCAGCACAATCTAGGGGCAGAAATATGTAGGGCATTGAGAAGGGGGCAGCACAATCTAGGGGCAGAAATATGTAGGGCATTGAGAAGGGGGCAGCACAATCTAGGGGCAGAAATATGTAGGGCATTGAGAAGGGGGCAGCACAATCTAGGGGCAGAAATATGTAGGGCATTGAGAAGGGGGCAGCAATCTAGGGGCAGAAATATGTAGGGCATTGAGAAGGGGGCAGCACAATCTAGGGGCAGAAATATGTAGGGCATTGAGAAGGGGGCAGCACAATCTAGGGGCAGAAATATGTAGGGCATTGAGAAGAGGTCATACTATCTGTAGAAAAGGCTACAATGAGTGTGGGGCATTGAAGTATTGTAGAGACTACATGCAGACATTACAAATATCAAACACTACATGATGGAGAAAGTAAACTCTAACCTTAACTTACACAGAAATTACTTTTACAAACATCAAACACTACAAAAGGCATGATGGAGAAAGTAAACTCTAACCTTAACATATCACCAACCTCCATAAGCTTCAAACTCACAAATCTCTATAAAAGAAGTGTCTGTTTTGGTCAGGGTTAGGGTTATTATCACAATCTCATTTTCTGGTGATGGATTAAGAAGTTCAACAACCTGGCCCTCAACTTGTGATACATGTTGAAATCTGGCAACTGTTGCAAGTCGACTATTTTTTCCTTCCACATTAAAGCCTTTCATAAATTCATAGTCTGGTCTGTTGAGGCATACAGTAAATTCTGACCATTATGGTTAAATACTGATGTGGTTTCTATCCATATTGTATTGTCTAGTAAAGTGTAGGGTTAGGATTTTATCTTTCCATATTGTATTGTCTAGTAAAGTGTAGGGTTAGGATTTATCTTTCCATATTGTATTGTCTAGTAAAGTGTAAGGTTAGGATTTATCTTTCCAAATTGTATTATGCCTTACTTTAAAGTGTGGAGTTAGGCTTATCTTACCATATTGTATTATGCCTTACTTTAAAGTGTAGGGTTAGGATTTTATCTTTCCATATTGTATTATGCCTTACTTTAAAGTGTGGGGTTAGGCTTTTATCTTACCATATTGTATTATGCCTTACTTTAGAGTGTGGGGTTAGGCTTATCTTACCATATTGTATTATGCCTTACTTTAAAGTGTGGAGTTAGGCTTATCTTACCATATTTTATTATGCCTTACTTTAAAGTGTAGGGTTAGGATTTTATCTTTCCAAATTGTATTATGCCTTACTTTAAAGTGTGGAGTTAGGCTTATCTTACCATATTGTATTATGCCTTACTTTAAAGTGTAGGGTTAGGATTTTATCTTACCATATTGTATTATGCCTTACTTTAGAGTGTGGGGTTAGGCTTATCTTACCATATTGTATTATGCCTTACTTTAAAGTGTGGAGTTAGGCTTATCTTACCATATTTTATTATGCCTTACTTTAAAGTGTAGGGTTAGGATTTTATCTTTCCATATTGTATTATGCCTTACTTTAAAGTGTGGAGTTAGGCTTATCTTACCATATTGTATTATGCCTTACTTTAAAGTGTAGGGTTAGGATTTTATCTTTCCATATTGTATTATGCCTTACTTTAAAGTGTGGGGTTAGGCTTATCTTACCATATTTTATTATGCCTTACTTTAAAGTGTGGGGTTAGGATTTTATCTTTCCATATTATATTATGCCTTACTTTAAAGTGTGGGGTTAGGCTTATCTTACCATATTGTATTATGCCTTACTTTAAAGTGTAGGGTTAGGATTTTATCTTTCCATATTGTATTATGCCTTACTTTAAAGTGTGGGGTTAGGCTTATCTTACCATATTGTATTATGCCTTACTTTAAAGTGTAGGGTTAGGATTTTATCTTTCCATATTGTATTATGCCTTACTTTAAAGTGTGGGGTTAGGCTTATCTTACCATATTTTATTATGCCTTACTTTAAAGTGTGGGGTTAGGATTTTATCTTTCCATATTGTATTATGCCTTACTTTAAAATGTGGGGTTAGGCTTATCTTACCATATTGTATTATGCCTTACTTTAAAGTGTAGGGTTAGGATTTTATCTTTCCATATTATATTATGCCTTACTTTAAAGTGTGGGGTTAGGCTTATCTTACCATATTGTATTATGCCTTACTTTAAAGTGTAGGGTTAGGATTTTATCTTTCCATATTGTATTATGCCTTACTTTAAAGTGTGGGGTTAGGCTTATCTTACCATATTGTATTATGCCTTACTTTAAAGTGTAGGGTTAGGATTTTATCTTTCCATATTGTATTATGCCTTACTTTAAAGTGTGGGGTTAGGCTTATCTTACCATATTTTATTATGCCTTACTTTAAAGTGTAGGGTTAGGATTTTATCTTTCCATATTGTATTATGCCTTACTTTAAAGTGTGGGGTTAGGCTTATCTTACCATATTGTATTATGCCTTACTTTAAAGTGTAGGGTTAGGATTTTATCTTTCCATATTGTATTATGCCTTACTTTAAAGTGTGGGGTTAGGCTTTTATCTTACCATATTGTATTATGCCTTACTTTAGAGTGTGGGGTTAGGCTTATCTTACCATATTGTATTATGCCTTACTTTAAAGTGTAGGGTTAGGATTTTATCTTTCCATATTGTATTATGCCTTACTTTAAAGTGTGGAGTTAGGCTTATCTTACCATATTGTATTATGCCTTACTTTAAAGTGTAGGGTTAGGATTTTATCTTTCCATATTGTATTATGCCTTACTTTAAAGTGTGGGGTTAGGCTTATCTTACCATATTGTATTATGCCTTACTTTAAAGTGTAGGGTTAGGATTTTATCTTTCCATATTGTATTATGCCTTACTTTAAAGTGTGGGGTTAGGCTTATCTTACCATATTGTATTATGCCTTACTTTAAAGTGTGGGGTTAGGATTTTATCTTTCCATATTGTATTATGCCTTACTTTAAAGTGTGGGGTTAGGCTTATCTTACCATATTGTATTATGCCTTACTTTAAAGTGTAGGGTTAGGATTTTATCTTTCCATATTGTATTATGCCTTACTTTAAAGTGTGGGGTTAGGCTTATCTTACCATATTTTATTATGCCTTACTTTAAAGTGTGGGGTTAGGATTTTATCTTTCCATATTGTATTATGCCTTACTTTAAAATGTAGGGTTAGGCTTTATCTTTCCACTTGCAACATGTATACAACGCTGCACAGGTTTTGGGAAATATACACAATTTTGAATAAAATGTCTTTACACTATTATGGGCGCTGAAGAAAATGTACAAAACATTAACCTCAGCCCCAACCACTAACCCACACACAAACACAACTATAAACAGCAACATATCTCCATCCCTATATAATATTCATATCCCTATCTTTATCCTTAAACATGTTTCCCTATTTCTGCCCCTATCCCATTTCATTTTCCATATTGTTATCCTACCATTACCTACAGCATTCATTACCTTCTCTCTTCATCTAAATGAAAGGTGGGAGATAAAGGGTGGAAGGGGGGGAGGTTGTGCCCTACTGCAGAGTTCTTGTGTAATTGTGTAGCCAACCAACCTAGATTGTCCTACCTCTTTGACCGATGTACCACGATGCTATAAATGTAATAGAGCTTCATTAAATGGACAGTCCAAGTGTGGACCTGCTCTCCACTTTGTGTAGTTATACAGTTCATCAGGAGGCCATCCACTGCCTGATCTGTTTCTTTAGAGCTTTTCATTAAAGCAACATTTCTGCCTGAAATTGTAAACAAACTAGATAATAGCTTATTTAGACAAGGCTAAACATCACAAACTAGATAAATCCATAGCTAATTTACACAATGCTAAACTCCACAAACTAGATAAAGCTAATTTAGACAAGGCTAAACATCACAAACTAGATAGAGCTAATTTAGATACAGCTGCTTCAGATGCAGTTAAAGTGTTAGTAATAAACAAAAACAGATGAAGCAGAGGCATAGCGAGGGTGGGGCTGTGGTGCAGAATGCACCGGGTTACACCATTTGGGGGGAGAGGGGGTGATACCAAGGCAAATAGTTGCAAAATTTACAGAAGAGAATTGCTTTTATGTCATGTCAATTAATAATTAATAAAATTTAAATGGCCTTTAAATAACAAATCAACAATTATTACATGAGGTGAGGGTGACACTGACACCATGATATGAACGTGCTAACTATAGAGAAAACAATGCTACATTCAACTATATTATTAACAGGCTGTAGATAAACATCATTACTATTACGTCTGAATTGATTAAAGCTTATAAACACACATGTACGCATATGTAGCGTATATTTAAATTATAGGCCTATGTAGGCCGATACAAACACACAATCATATATATATATATATTTATACTTTGTTTGTTAGGGGTGGGGGGTGACACCACGAATTGCCGCACCAGGTGACACCTGACCTAGCAACGCCACTGAGATGAAGTTTAACTACTGATAAACTAAATCAGACAACGCTAAAGTGTATTTATTGATAAACTCAATCGGCTTTTGATAAACCTTGATACTATAGTAAAAAAAAATAACTTATTAATTTTTATCATTTAACAGAACAAGTTTAAAAACATACTTTGTATGCACATTAGATGATAAATTTGTTGTGTAAATAACTGTTGTTAGCCACAGATGTTTCAATATTTGAACACAACGTTCTGACCTCCCACTAACCCTAATGAGCCGTACCTTTATTTAAGTAAATAGAGCAGATTTCCTTCCCTTCAAGACTAGTTAACTCCAGCATATCAATGACCAGAATCTGCAGGCCACACGATATGTCGACAGTCAGAGCATTGACATAGGTCTGTGTCTGCTGGGAACAATGCACTTGTGTATGGTTGTGCCAGAGCTTCAATTTTATGTCTCTCAGCTCAGCTGGGAATGGAGGAGTTTAAACATACTAATGTTTGTAGTTAAGAACTGAAAATAAAAATTAACTTAGCCAAAGATCACACAGCTAGATAAAACCGAGCTTACAACTTTTTTTGAGAACAACTCGTATCCATGAAAAATTGTACTTTCTGCCTAGGTTAATTATTAAAGGCGTGATGGTCTCTGTGCAGGTGGCATCATTGTTGTCCATGTAGGCCACAGCTGTCACCTCAGGCAGAATGTCTCCTGTAGGCCATATTTTAGACAGGTGATAATTAAAGGTAACTAGAATCATGTCTCATATGTTTGTTTCTTTACACAAATCTATCAACAACACAAATACTCCTTTAACATAAATACAGTACATTGTCTCCATGGCTACATTATCTGCATGTCAAAGGTCACAACTTGACACAAAAACTTACTATACTGACAGGCAGGCCCAAACCAGAATTCTTGGCACAGTCCTTGGCAGTTTCCTGTGTCATCACAGGCTCCATAGAGACAGTGGCACATAATTCTCATTGAACTTACCACCCAGTAACTATCTGAAACACCAGTATACCTATAGAGACAGTGGCACATAATTCTCATTGAACTTACCACCCAGTAACTATCTGAAACACCAGTATACCTATAGAGACAGTGGCACATAATTCTCATTGAACTTACCACCCAGTAACTATCTGAAACACCAGTATACCTATAGAGACAGTGGCACATAATTCTCATTGAACTTACCACCCAGTAACTATCTGAAACACCAGTATACCTATAGAGACAGTGGCACATAATTCTCATTGAGCTTACCACCCAGTAACTATCTGAAACACCAGTATACCTATAGAGACAGTGGCACATAATTCTCATTGAACTTACCACCCAGTAACTATCTGAAACACCAGTATACCTATAGAGACAGTGGAACATAATTCTCATTGAACTTACCACCCAGTAACTATCTGAAACACCAGTATACCTATAGAGACAGTGGCACATAATTCTCATTGAACTTACCACCCAGTAACTATCTGAAACACCAGTATACCTATAGAGACAGTGGCACATAAGTCTCATTGAGCTATCTAGACATACCAACCCACTGGTGCCTCACCTACATACAAACACACCAACCCACTGGTGCCTCACCTACATACAAACACAACAACCCACTGGTGCCTCACCTACACACCAACCCACTGGTGCCTCACCTACATACAAACACATCAACCCACTGGTGCCTCACCTACAAACACACCAACCCACTGGTGCCTCACCTACATACACACCAACCCACTGGTGCCTCACCTACATACAAACACAACCACCCACTGGTGCCTCACCTACATACAAACACACCAACCCACTGGTGCCTCACCTACATACAAACACAACCACCCACTGGTGCCTCACCTACACACCAACCCACTGGTGCCTCACCTACATACAAACACAACCACCCACTGGTGCCTCACCTACATACAAACACACCAACCCACTGGTGCCTCACCTACATACAAACACACCAACCCACTGGTGCCTCACCTACACACAAACACACCAACCCACTGGTGCCTCACCTACATACAAACACACCAACCCACTGGTGCCTCACCTACATACAAACACACCAACCCACTGGTGCCTCACCTACAAACACACCAACCCACTGGTGCCTCACCTACATACAAACACACCAACCCACTGGTGCCTCACCTACATACAAACACACCAACCCACTGGTGCCTCACCTACATACAAACACACCAACCCACTGGTGCCTCACCTACACATCAACCCACTGGTGCCTCACCTACACACCAACCCACTGGTGCCTCACCTACATACAAACACACCAACCCACTGGTGCCTCACCTACACATCAACCCACTGGTGCCTCACCTATACACCAACCCACTGGTGCCTCACCTACATACAAACCCAGTGGTGCCTCACCTACATACAAACACACCAACCCACTGGTGACTCACCTACATACAAACACACCAACCCACTGGTGCCTCACCTACATACAAACACACCAACCCACTGGTGCCTCACCTACATACAAACATACCAACCCACTGGTGCCTCACCTACATACAAACACACCAACCCACTGGTGCCTCACCTACATACAAACACATCAACCCACTGGTGCCTCACCTACAAACACACCAACCCACTGGTGCCTCACCTACATACAAACACACCAACCCACTGGTGCCTCACCTACATACAAACACACCAACCCACTGGTGACTCACCTACATACAAACACACCAACCCACTGGTGCCTCACCTACACATCAACCCACTGGTGCCTCACCTACACACCAACCCACTGGTGCCTCACCTACATACAAACACACCACCCACTGGTGCCTCACCTACATACAAACCCAGTGGTGCCTCACCTACATACAAACACACCAACCCACTGGTGACTCACCTACATACAAACACACCAACCCACTGGTGCCTCACCTACATACAAACACACCAACCCACTGGTGCCTCACCTACATACAAACATACCAACCCACTGGTGCCTCACCTACATACAAACACACCAACCCACTGGTGCCTCACCTACATACAAACACACCAACCCACTGGTGCCTCACCTACATACAAACACACCAACCCACTGGTGCCTCACCTACATACAAACACACCAACCCACTGGTGCCTCACCTACACACCAACCCACTGGTGCCTCACCTACATACAAACACACCAACCCACTGGTGCCTCACCTACATACAAACACACCAACCCACTGGTGCCTCACCTACACACCAACCCACTGGTGCCTCACCTACATACAAACACACCAACCCACTGGTGCCTCACCTACACACCAACCCACTGGTGCCTCACCTACATACAAACACAACCACCCACTGGTGCCTCACCTACATACAAACACACCAACCCACTGGTGCCTCACCTACATACAAACACACCAACCCACTGGTGCCTCACCTACACATCAACCCACTGGTGCCTCACCTACATACAAACACAACAACCCACTGGTGACTCACCTACACATCAACCCACTGGTGCCTCACCTACACATCAACCCACTGGTGCCTCACCTACATACAAACACAACAACCCACTGGTGCCTCACCTACATACAAACATACCAACCCACTGGTGCCTCACCTACATACAAACACACCAACCCACTGGTGCCTCACCTACATACAAACACACCAACCCACTGGTGCCTCACCTACAAACACACCAACCCACTGGTGCCTCACCTACACACCAACCCACTGGTGCCTCACCTACACACAAACACAACCACCCACTGTGGTTAGATACATTAACCTACACACAAACACACCAACTCACTTGTGATTCAACTACACACAAACACGCCCACTAACTGTGATGCTACAAACCCAGAGTTTGAAACATACTCACTTGTAAACATACACAAAAAAATGTTTTCATTGGTACAAGGCTGGTCTTCCACAATCATGTCACGAGAGCCCACCAAGCAAGCATCAAAGTTGTTTGGCTCATCTCTACTCATAAAAGTTAAGAAAACAGGCTGACCATTGTCCACCCAGGCATACATGCCATTGTCACTTATTTCATGTCCACCAAGCCAAAACTTGAGGTTCTCTAGAAATAAACAGGAAACCAAATCACTTATCTTAGGTCTTCTTTGACAGTGATGCCATATCTCTTATCTTAGGTCTTCTTTGACAGTGATGCCATATCTCTTATCTTAGGTCTTCTTTGACAGTGATGCCATATCTCTTATCTTAGGTCTTCTTTGACAGTGATGCCATATCTCTTATCTTAGGTCTTCTTTGACAGTGATGCCATATCTCTTATCTTAGGTCTTTTTTGACAGTGATACCATATCTCTTATCTTAGGTCTTCTTTGACAGTGATGCCATATCTCTTATCTTAGGTCTTCTTTGAAAGTGATGCCATATCTCTTATCTTAGGTCTTTTTTGACAGTGATACCATATCTCTTATCTTAGGTCTTCTTTGACAGTGATACCATATCTCTTATCTTAGGTCTTCTTTGACAGTGATGCCATATCTCTTATCTTAGGTCTTCTTTGACAGTGATGCACAGGGGGCGACCTACACTGCCAGAGCTAGTTATCACCCCCCCCCCCCTGCATATAGAACAATAGCAAAATTGAACAATATATAAGATATTTTAAATTGATAGTTATCTTATTTTCATTTACTTTATCCTGATATAAACATGAAACACCCAATTCTATTTGCATTTTAATATTGTGCTATTCCTCACTAACTTGTATTTGTATTTTAATATTGTGCTATTCCTCACTAACTTGTATTTGTATTTTAATATTGCGCTATTCCTCACTAACTTGTATTTGTATTTTAATATTGTGCTATTCCTCACTAACTTGTATTTGTATTTTAATATTGTGCTATTCCTCACTAACTTGTATTTGTATTTTAATATTTTCCATTCCTCACTAACTTGTATTTGTATTTTAATATTGTGCTATTCCTCACTAACTTGTATTTGTATTTTAATATTGTGCTATTCCTCACTAACTTGTATTTGTATTTTAATATTGTGCTATTCCTCACTAACTTGTATTTGTATTTTAATATTTTCCATTCCTCACTAACTTGTATTTGTATTTTAATATTGTGCTATTCCTCACTAACTTGTATTTGTATTTTAATATTTTCCATTCCTCACTAACTTGTATTTGTATTTTAATATTGTGCTATTCCTCACTAACTTGTATTTGTATTTTAATATTGTGCTATTCCTCACTAACTTGTATTTGTATTTTAATATTTTCCATTCCTCACTAACTTGTATTTGTATTTTAATATTGTGCTATTCCTCACTAACTTGTATTTGTATTTTAATATTTTCCATTCCTCACTAACTTGTATTTGTATTTTAATATTGTGCTATTCCTCACTAACTTGTATTTGTATTTTAACGAGCCGGCCCGCGGCATAACATATGCCGCTATTTAGTTGTTTCTAATTTTCAATAATTCATAATTTGTGAATTCGACAGTACCAACGCTGACACTGAAAATATTTCTTTAAAACACTATAAGTAGCTCGTTAAGGACCATAACCCCCCCCCCCCTTCCTTCCCTCCCCCCCCCCCCCCCCCCCCCACGTTTAAAATCGTTGGCTCTGCTTGTAAACATTTAGAGTGAACACAGCTCACTAAAACCATGTAGGGGTGGGGAGGTAGGGAGAGCGTTTGCAGCTTGTTTTCTAACGGCTCGAAGAAGAGAATTATATATATAGATATTGTGCTATTCCTCACTAACTTGTATTTGTATTTTAATATTTTCCATTCCTCACTAACTTGTATTTGTATTTTAATATTGTGCTATTCCTCACTAACTTGTATTTGTATTTTAATATTTTCCATTCCTCACTAACTTGTATTTGTATTTTAATATTGTGCTATTCCTCACTAACTTGTATTTGTATTTTAATATTGTGCTATTCCTCACTAACTTGTATTTGTATTTTAATATTTTCCATTCCTCACTAACTTGTATTTGTATTTTAATATTGTGCTATTCCTCACTAACTTGTATTTGTATTTTAATATTTTCCATTCCTCACTAACTTGTATTTGTATTTTAATATTGTGCTTTTCCTCACTAACTTGTATTTGTATTTTAATATTGTGCTTTTCCTCACTAACTTGTATTTGAATATTTTCTATTCCTCACCCTTGGAGATCAGCCCTTTAAAGGATAACAATGTATTAGACTATGTAAATTTGTGTGGATGAATGTACCATTAGTACCAATGTATTAGACTATGTAAATTTGTGTGGATGAATGTACCATTAGTACCAATGTATTAGACTATGTAAATTTGTGGGATGAATGTACCATTAGTAACAATGTATTAGACTATGTAAATTTGTGTGGATGAATGTACCATTAGTACCAATGTATTAGACTATGTAAATTTGTGTGGATGAATGTACCATTAGTAACAATGTATTAGACTGTAAATTTGTGTGGATGAATGTACCATTAGTAACAATGTATTAGACTATGTAAATTTGTGTGGATGAATGTACCATTAGTACCAATGTATTAGACTATGTAAATTTGTGTGGATGAATGTACCATTAGTACCAATGTATTAGACTGTAAATGTGTGGATGAATGTACCATTAGTAACAATGTATTAGACTGTAAATTTGTGTGGATGAATGTACCATTAGTAACAATGTATTAGACTATGTAAATGTGTGTGGATGAATGTACCATTAGTAACAATGTATTAGACTGTAAATTTGTGTGGATGAATGTACCATTAGTAACAATGTATTAGACTATGTAAATTTGTGTGGATGAATGTACCATTAGTACCAATGTATTAGACTATGTAAATTTGTGTGGATGAATGTACCATTAGTACCAATGTATTAGACTGTAAATGTGTGGATGAATGTACCATTAGTAACAATGTATTAGACTATGTAAATGTGTGTGGATGAATGTACCATTAGTAACAATGTATTAGACTATGTAAATTTGTGTGGATGAATGTACCATTAGTACCAATGTATTAGACTATGTAAATTTGTGTGGATGAATGTACCATTAGTACCAATGTATTAGACTGTAAATTTGTGTGGATGAATGTACCATTAGTAACAATGTATTAGACTATGTAAATTTGTGGGGATGAATGTACCATTAGTAACAATGTATTAGACTGTAAATTTGTGTGGATGAATGTACCATTAGTAACAATGTATTAGACTATGTAAATTTGTGGGGATGAATGTACCATTAGTAACAATGTATTAGACTATGTAAATTTGTGGGGATGAATGTACCATTAGTACCAATGTATTAGACTATGTAAATTTGTGGGGATGAATGTACCATTAGTACCAATGTATTAGACTATGTAAATTTGTGGGGATGAATGTACCATTAGTACCAATGTATTAGACTATGTAAATGTGTGTGGATGAATGTACCATTAGTAACAATGTATTAGACTGTAAATTTGTGTGGATGAATGTACCATTAGCACCAATGTATTAGACTGTAAATTTGTGGGGATGAATGTACCATTAGTACCAATGTATTAGACTATGTAAATTTGTGGGGATGAATGTACCATTAGTACCAATGTATTAGACTGTAAATGTGTGTGGATGAATGTACCATTAGTAACAATGTATTAGACTATGTAAATTTGTGTGGATGAATGTACCATTAGTACCAATGTATTAGACTATGTAAATTTGTGTGGATGAATGTACCATTAGTACCAATGTATTAGACTGTAAATTTGTGGGATGAATGTACCATTAGTAACAATGTATTAGACTATGTAAATTTGTGGGGATGAATGTACCATTAGTAACAATGTATTAGACTGTAAATTTGTGGGGATGAATGTACCATTAGTAACAATGTATTAGACTATGTAAATGTGTGTGGATGAATGTACCATTAGTAACAATGTATTAGACTATGTAAATTTGTGGGGATGAATGTACCATTAGTACCAATGTATTAGACTGTAAATTTGTGGGGATGAATGTACCATTAGTAACAATGTATTAGACTGTAAATTTGTGGGGATGAATGTACCATTAGTACCAATGTATTAGACTATGTAAATTTGTGGGGATGAATGTACCATTAGTACCAATGTATTAGACTATGTAAATTTGTGGGGATGAATGTACCATTAGTAACAATGTATTAGACTATGTAAATTTGTGGGGATGAATGTACCATTAGTACCAATGTATTAGACTATGTAAATTTGTGGGGATGAATGTACCATTAGTAACAATGTATTAGACTATGTAAATTTGTGGGGATGAATGTACCATTAGTAACAATGTATTAGACTATGTAAATTTGTGGGGATGAATGTACCATTAGTACCAATGTATTAGACTATGTAAATTTGTGGGGATGAATGTACCATTAGTACCAATGTATTAGACTATGTAAATTTGTGTGGATGAATGTACCATTAGTAACAATGTATTAGACTATGTAAATGTGTGTGGATGAATGTACCATTAGTAACAATGTATTAGACTATGTAAATTTGTGGGGATGAATGTACCATTAGTAACAATGTATTAGACTATGTAAATTTGTGGGGATGAATGTACCATTAGTAACCATGTATTAGACTATGTAAATTTGTGGGGATGAATGTACCATTAGTACCAATGTATTAGACTATGTAAATGTGTGTGGATGAATGTACCATTAGTAACAATGTATTAGACTATGTAAATTTGTGGGGATGAATGTACCATTAGTACCAATGTATTAGACTGTAAATTTGTGGGGATGAATGTACCATTAGTAACAATGTATTAGACTGTAAATTTGTGGGGATGAATGTACCATTAGTACCAATGTATTAGACTATGTAAATTTGTGGGGATGAATGTACCATTAGTACCAATGTATTAGACTATGTAAATTTGTGGGGATGAATGTACCATTAGTAACAATGTATTAGACTATGTAAATTTGTGGGGATGAATGTACCATTAGTACCAATGTATTAGACTATGTAAATTTGTGGGGATGAATGTACCATTAGTAACAATGTATTAGACTATGTAAATTTGTGGGGATGAATGTACCATTAGTAACAATGTATTAGACTATGTAAATTTGTGGGGATGAATGTACCATTAGTACCAATGTATTAGACTATGTAAATTTGTGGGGATGAATGTACCATTAGTACCAATGTATTAGACTATGTAAATTTGTGTGGATGAATGTACCATTAGTAACAATGTATTAGACTATGTAAATGTGTGTGGATGAATGTACCATTAGTACCAATGTATTAGACTGTAAATTTGTGGGATGAATGTACCATTAGTAACAATGTATTAGACTATGTAAATTTGTGGGGATGAATGTACCATTAGTACCAATGTATTAGACTATGTAAATGTGTGTGGATGAATGTACCATTAGTAACAATGTATTAGACTATGTAAATTTGTGGGGATGAATGTACCATTAGTACCAATGTATTAGACTGTAAATTTGTGGGGATGAATGTACCATTAGTAACAATGTATTAGACTGTAAATTTGTGGGGATGAATGTACCATTAGTACCAATGTATTAGACTATGTAAATTTGTGGGGATGAATGTACCATTAGTACCAATGTATTAGACTATGTAAATTTGTGGGGATGAATGTACCATTAGTAACAATGTATTAGACTATGTAAATTTGTGGGGATGAATGTACCATTAGTACCAATGTATTAGACTATGTAAATTTGTGGGGATGAATGTACCATTAGTAACAATGTATTAGACTATGTAAATTTGTGGGGATGAATGTACCATTAGTAACAATGTATTAGACTATGTAAATTTGTGGGGATGAATGTACCATTAGTACCAATGTATTAGACTATGTAAATTTGTGGGGATGAATGTACCATTAGTACCAATGTATTAGACTATGTAAATTTGTGTGGATGAATGTACCATTAGTAACAATGTATTAGACTATGTAAATGTGTGTGGATGAATGTACCATTAGTAACAATGTATTAGACTATGTAAATTTGTGGGGATGAATGTACCATTAGTAACAATGTATTAGACTATGTAAATTTGTGGGGATGAATGTACCATTAGTAACCATGTATTAGACTATGTAAATTTGTGGGGATGAATGTACCATTAGTAACAATGTATTAGACTATGTAAATGTGTGTGGATGAATGTACCATTAGTAACAATGTATTAGACTGTAAATGTGTGGATGAATGTACCATTAGTAACAATGTATTAGACTATGTAAATTTGTGGGGATGAATGTACCATTAGTAACAATGTATTAGACTATGTAAATGTGTGTGGATGAATGTACCATTAGTAACAATGTATTAGACTGTAAATGTGTGTGGATGAATGTACCATTAGTAACAATGTATTAGACTATGTAAATTTGTGGGGATGAATGTACCATTAGTAACAATGTATTAGACTGTAAATGTGTGTGGATGAATGTACCATTAGTAACAATGTATTAGACTATGTAAATTTGTGTGGATGAATGTACCATTAGTACCAATGTATTAGACTATGTAAATTTGTGGGGATGAATGTACCATTAGTACCAATGTATTAGACTGTAAATGTGTGTGGATGAATGTACCATTAGTAACAATGTATTAGACTATGTAAATTTGTGGGGATGAATGTACCATTAGCACCAATGTTTTCAATCAAGCTCCACCCACCCTCACCCTGTAACCAAAAGTTCTTACTCATGAGTTGATTGGCCATTGACTTCAACAAGCCTACATAACATAATTGCATCAGAGCAATGATGTGTTATCATCAAGGTCAATCCTGGACAAGCTTTATGGCTACATTTTGCATGTAGGATCATGGAGTTTCAAATGATGTTCATCTGGTCATCATGTTAAAGTGTGGACATTGATATGGACCTTCCTCCCCATACATGATCACAGCAGTAGAGACAGGATGCTCTCACCTGTAATAAGCTGACCCAGAGTTCTCAAGGTAGCAACTGACTCAATCCTGGCTCTCACCTGTAATAAGCTGACCCAGAGTTCTCAAGGTAGCATCTGACCCAATCCTGGCTCTCACCTGTAATAAGCTGACCCAGAGTTCTCAAGGTAGCAACTGACCCAATCCGGGCTCTCACCTGTAATAAGCTGACCCAGAGTTCTCAAGGTAGCATCTGACCCAATCCGGGCTCTCACCTGTAATAAGCTGACCCAGAGTTCTCAAGGTAGCAACTGACTCAATCCGGGCTCTCACCTGTAATAAGCTGACCCAGAGTTCTCAAGGTAGCAACTGACTCAATCCTGGCTCTCACCTGTAATAAGCTGACCCAGAGTTCTCAAGGTAGCAACTAACCCAATCCTGGCTCTCACCTGTAATAAGCTGACCCAGAGTTCTCAAGGTAGCAACTGACTCAATCCGGGCTCTCACCTGTAATAAGCTGACCCAGAGTTCTCAAGGTAGCAACTGACTCAATCCTGGCTCTCACCTGTAATAAGCTGACCCAAAGTTCTCAAGGTAGCAACTGACCCAATCCTGGCTCTCACCTGTAATAAGCTGACCCAGAGTTCTCAAGGTAGCATCTGACCCAATCCTGGCTCTCACCTGTGATAAGCTGACCCAGAGTTCTCAAGGTAGCATCTGACCCAATCCTGGATCTCACCTGTAATAAGCTGACCCAGAGTTCTCAAGGTAGCAACTGACCCAATCCTGGCTCTCACCTGTAATAAGCTGACCCAGAGTTCTCAAGGTAGCAACTGACTCAATCCTGGCTCTCACCTGTAATAAGCTGACCCAGAGTTCTCAAGGTAGCAACTGACCCAATCCTGGCTCTCACCTGTAATAAGCTGACCCAGAGTTCTCAAGGTAGCAACTGACCCAATCCTGGCTCTCACCTGTAATAAGCTGACCCAGAGTTCTCAAGGTAGCAACTGACTCAATCCTGGCTCTCACCTGTAATAAGCTGACCCAGAGTTCTCAAGGTAGCAACTGACCCAATCCTGGCTCTCACCTGTAATAAGCTGACCCAGAGTTCTCAAGGTAGCATCTGACCCAATCCTGGCTCTCACCTGTGATAAGCTGACCCAGAGTTCTCAAGGTAGCATCTGACCCAATCCTGGATCTCACCTGTAATAAGCTGACCCAGAGTTCTCAAGGTAGCAACTGACCCAATCCTGGCTCTCACCTGTAATAAGCTGACCCAGAGTTCTCAAGGTAGCATCTGACCCAATCCTGGCTCTCACCTGTAATAAGCTGACCCAGAGTTCTCAAGGTAGCAACTGACCCAATCCTGGCTCTCACCTGTAATAAGCTGACCCAGAGTTCTCAAGGTAGCAACTGACCCAATCCTGGCTCTCACCTGTAATAAGCTGACCCAGAGTTCTCAAGGTAGCATCTGACCCAATCCTGGCTCTCACCTGTGATAAGCTGACCCAGAGTTCTCAAGGTAGCACCTGACTCAATCCTGGCCAAGTGCATAGAGTTAGAATTACACCATTCCTGTAGGGAAGAGATAACATAAAGCTACACCATACCTTTAGGGAACAAAACAAAAGTCATATACATATTTAATTAACTACCTGCAACCTCCGACTATGCTTTGTTGACTAAATAAATTCAGGCCAGTTCCCTGCTGCCCAGGCAGGGTACGATTTGACACCCCGACTCCCCATGAGCACTATGGCATCTATCTTTATTGTAAAGAGTGCCATACACTATCGATACAGTGGACTGCTTTGATCCTAGACAAAATCAAATAAGGCGCAATCCCCAGTGCCTCAGTGGTCAGGTGACCTGCAGCCTCTCAGATACTAAGTGAGCACTGTCGCGCCCACATTTGTCGCCTCACCATTAAAGGGGTGGTTAACCTACACTCAAGGCTTTCATACAGCATGCCCTGAGGCATTTAGGGGGGGGGGGGGAGAGAGGAGGTCATGCATCTCAAAAAACATGATTGGTAATGAATTGGTGAAATCCTCTTAAAATATTGTGTCAGCTTTTCCGCGGAGACCACAGCAGCGTGTGGGATGGGTACTCTAGTTGGATATAAAAACTGAAACTAAAGTTTAAAAGAATTAGGCCATAACAGCTTGCTAGGACTAAAAGTAACAAAGACAGGGATCTGTAAAATCTTGCTTTGAAGCCCAAAAGGTAAACTATAATAATAAGACTATCTAATATATAGTACAGGGTTTAAGCTTCCTAATACTTAATATAATAAAGCAATATTTTTACCAATAGAAATTTAAATTCAAGTGAATTTGCTTTACACACATTAAAAAATGTATTATTATTTTTAAAACAATAAGAAATATATACCAAATATAAATAAATATAATAAAGTATGATAATATAGTAATAAGTATACTAAATCTTAATTTTAACAAAAAACAGTATTTGAGAAGACATTTATTTTTCTAAGAAAGAAAAAGTTTAGAAAATCTGATATAATTACAAATGCAGTATTGGGGGGGGGGGGGGGGGGTGAAGTCCTTTCTTGTTCTTTCAGCAAGTCTACAACAAGATTAATGCTGAATGTTCACTTTAGATTTGTCTCCTATATCTACTTAATGCTAATGTCTTACTGTGTAGAGAATCTAACAATTAAACACTTCATTTTAAACCTGACAAATAACTTATATTTACACACCAAATTGTGTGTAGCCACAATGGCCTCAATTGTCTTCAGATTTACCCATTTGTTGTCATACAGATCATTTACAAAAACTGAAGCTTCAATGGAATTTTAACTCAATACTTGATACCTCATACTTAAAAATTCTTTAAAACAAGTTAAAACTTGAACTATACTACAACAGGCTACAATTTAAAAATATAATTTCATGAGCAAATATATTATACGAGCTGACTTGCAGCGTATCATACGCCGCTATTTAGTTGTTTTATTTTCTACTTTTAAGTAATTCATAATTTGTGAATTCGACAGTACCGATGCTGCCACGGAAAATATTTGCTTTAAAACACTATCAGTAGGTCGTTAAGGACGATAACCCCCCCCTCCTTTCCCCCAACCCCTACCCTACACCCCCCCCCTTGTGAAAGCAGCCTCCTCTTAGTTACCTCCCTAAGTTTAAAATCGTTTCAAACTAAATTATTGGCCCCTAACAGCCATCACTAAACCTGGCTCTATGATTGTAAACATTTAGTATGAACCACAGCTCACCAGACCATGTTGGGGTGGTAGGGATATGCCTAGAGAGGAAAAGACGGGGCTGCTAGGCGCGCTTACAGCTTGGTGTTTTCTATGGTCTCCATGAAGAGAATTATATATATAGATGGGTTACCTTTGCTTTCTTCCATCTCAGCTTTTCTTTAAAGACAATATAGCAAATATCATCCAACAGCATACCAGAGTAAAATGAACAATTCAGCCCCACATCTGAAATATTTGGTTCAAATAGTCATGTTGAATGTTAGCCACATCTGAAATATTTGGTTCAAATAGTCATGTTGAATGTTAGCCACATCTGAAATATTTGGTTCAAATAGTCATGTTGAATGTTAGCCACATCTGAAATATTTGAAGGAGATGGTTCAAATAGTCATGCTGAATGTTAGCCACATCTGAAATATTTGGTTCAAATAGTCATGTTGAATGTTAGCCACATCTGAAATATTTGGTTCAAATAGTCATGTTGAATGTTAGCCACATCTGAAATATTTGGTTCAAATAGTCATGTTGAATGTTAGCCACATCTGAAATATTTGAAGGAGATGGTTCAAATAGTCATGTTGAATGTTAGCCACATCTGAAATATTTGAAGGAGATGGTTCAAATAGTCATGTTGAATGTTAGCCACATCTGAAATATTTGGTTCAAATAGTCATGTTGAATGTTAGCCACATCTGAAATATTTGGTTCAAATAGTCATGTTGAATGTTAGCCACATCTGAAATATTTGGTTCAAATAGTCATGTTGAATGTTAGCCACATCTGAAATATTTGGTTCAAATAGTCATGTTGAATGTTAGCCACATCTGAAATATTTGGTTCAAATAGTCATGCTGAATGTTAGCCACATCTGAAATATTTGAAGGAGATGGTTCAAATAGTAATGTTGAATGTTAGCCACATCTGAAATATTTGATTCAAATAGTCATGTTGAATGTTAGCCACATCTGAAATATTTGAAGGAGATGGTTCAAATAGTCATGTTGAATGTTAGCCACATCTGAAATATTTGAAGGAGATGGTTCAAATAGTCATGTTGAATGTTAGCCACATCTGAAATATTTGGTTCAAATAGTCATGTTGAATGTTAGCCACATCTGAAATATTTGGTTCAAATAGTCATGTTGAATGTTAGCCACATCTGAAATATTTGGTTCAAATAGTCATGTTGAATGTTAGCCACATCTGAAATATTTGAGGGAGATGGTTCAAATAGTCATGTTGAATGTCAGCCACATCTGAAATATTTGAGGGGGATTTGAGCAGAATCCCCCTCCCAAACACACACACACCTAAGCAAAGTAAACGCACAAAGTGTCAGGTAGTAGACCACAGCATACTTTGACACCTACTTGTTGACAAAGAATTGACAAAGGCATGCAGCAGCTGTAAGACTAGCAGCTGCAGGAGCTGGGAACTTTGGGACAATATCCTGGTCATGGTGGCAAGCTGGTCATGGTGGCAAGCTGGTCATGGTGGATGATTTGCTGACCATTCTGGTCCTTGGATCCTGTCACACTTGGACAGCCAACCTTATGTCACCACATGGTGTGTTTCTATATGAATAAATAAAAACATTGTGGTATGGTGTATCTATATGAATAAATAAAAACATTATGGTATGGTGTATCTATATGAATAAATAAAAACATTATGGTATGGTGTATCTATATGAATAAATAAAAACATTATGGTATGGTGTATCTATATGAATAAATAAAAACATTATGGTATGGTGTATCTATATGAATAAATAAATCATCAGTTTAAAAAAACATTATGGTTTGGTGTATCTATATGAATAAATAAAAACATTATGGTATGGTGTATCTATATGAATAAATAAAAACATTATGGTATGGTGTATCTATATGAATAAATAAAAACATTATGGTATGGTGTATCTATATGAATAAATAAATCATCAGTTTAAAAAAACATTATGGTATGGTGTATCTATATGAATAAATAAAAACATTATGGTATGGTGTATCTATATAAATAAATAAATCATCAGTTTAAAAAAACATTATGGTATGGTGTATCTATATGAATAAATAAAAACATTATGGTATGGTGTATCTATATAAATAAATAAATCATCAGTTTAAAAAAACATTATGGTATGGTGTATCTATATGAATAAATAAATCATCAGTTTAAAAAAACATTATGGTATGGTGTATCTATATGAATAAATAAAAACATTATGGTATGGTGTATCTATATGAATAAATAAAAACATTATGGTATGGTGTATCTATCTGAATAAATAAAAACATTGTGGTATGGTGTATCTATATGAATAAATAAAAACATTATGGTATGGTGTATCTATATGAATAAATAAAAACATTATGGTATGGTGTATCTATATGAATAAATAAAAACATTATGGTATGGTGTATCTATATGAATAAATAAAAACATTATGGTATGGTGTATCTATATGAATAAATAAAAACATTATGGTATGGTGTATCTATATAAATAAATAAAAACATTATGGTATGGTGTATCTATATGAATAAATAAAAACATTATGGTATGGTGTATCTATATAAATAAATAAATCATCAGTTTAAAAAAACATTATGGTATGGTGTATCTATATGAATAAATAAATCATCAGTTTAAAAAAACATTATGGTATGGTGTATCTATATGAATAAATAAAAACATTATGGTATGGTGTATCTATATAAATAAATAAATCATCAGTTTAAAAAAACATTATGGTATGGTGTATCTATATGAATAAATAAATCATCAGTTTAAAAAAACATTATGGTATGGTGTATCTATATGAATAAATAAAAACATTATGGTATGGTGTATCTATATGAATAAATAAAAACATTATGGTATGGTGTATCTATCTGAATAAATAAAAACATTGTGGTATGGTGTATCTATATGAATAAATAAAAACATTATGGTATGGTGTATCTATATGAATAAATAAAAACATTATGGTATGGTGTATCTATATGAATAAATAAAAACATTATGGTATGGTGTATCTATATGAATAAATAAAAACATTATGGTATGGTGTATCTATATGAATAAATAAAAACATTATGGTATGGTGTATCTATATAAATAAATAAAAACATTATGGTATGGTGTATCTATATGAATAAATAAAAACATTATGGTATGGTGTATCTATATAAATAAATAAATCATCAGTTTAAAAAAACATTATGGTATGGTGTTTCTATATGAATAAATAAAAACATTATGGTATGGTGTATCTATATGAATAAATAAAAACATTATGGTATGGTGTATCTATATAAATAAATAAATCATCAGTTTAAAAAAACATTATGGTATGGTGTTTCTATATGAATAAATAAAAACATTATGGTATGGTGTATCTATATGAATAAATAAAAACATTATGGTATGGTGTATCTATATGAATAAATAAAAACATTATGGTATGGTGTATCTATATGAATAAATAAAAACATTATGGTATGGTGTATCTATATGAATAAATAAAAACATTATGGTATGGTGTATCTATATGAATAAATAAAAACATTATGGTATGGTGTATCTATCTGAATAAATAAATCATCAGTTTAAAAAAACATTATGGTTTGGTGTATCTATATGAATAAATAAAAACATTATGGTATGGTGTATCTATATGAATAAATAAAAACATTATGGTATGGTGTATCTATATGAATAAATAAAAACATTATGGTATGGTGTATCTATATGAATAAATAAAAACATTATGGTATGGTGTATCTATCTGAATAAATAAATCATCAGTTTAAAAAAACATTATGGTTTGGTGTATCTATATGAATAAATAAAAACATTATGGTATGGTGTATCTATATGAATAAATAAAAACATTATGGTATGGTGTATCTATATGAATAAATAAAAACTCAGTTTAAAAAAACATTATAGTATGGTGTAGACCTTATCTATCTGACTAAATAAAATGTAAGTTTTAATAAGGTTATAGCAAATGCCTGTTGGTTACTGGTATCAATTAATGATACTTGGTGATACCCCATGATGTTACCCTACCCAGGTGACTCCACTATATGTGAGTGCTAGCAAAAGTAGTCTGATAAATAAATAAGGCTAAATAGTAGTCTGATAAATTTTAAACACTCAATAGTAGTCTGATAAATAATAAAGGTTTGTGGCTTTTTTAAAGATGATTTAGAGTTAGTGTTAGGTTATAGATAGAGCATTAATTTTTAGGCTAGTGTAAAAGTTTTCTGGATCTATCAATCTTATAGTACTACAGAAAATACTTTTATTTCATTTGTTATACAATCTGCTACTAAAATTACATACCCTGATTGTATAGAACAGGTGAAACCAGGGTAAGAGTAAACAATTTAGCTATGATCAAAACAAATTACTTTTAGCTTAGAATAGTGCAGATCTAGGAAATCTAAATCAAAACTCTTAAAATCTCAAACTCACAGTCATAGATTAGTTTTCTAATAATTGATACTTTTGAACAATGTGCACTGATAAGCGCTGTACTCATTACCGCACTAAAGTTAGAGGTGCAAAACATTTTAGATTTAGAAATAAAATAATGCACACCCCTACAAAATATAAAATATTGTAGTATCCTTACAACTTACATTTTCAATTCAGTAACGTGTAGGCTATTGCTCTATAAACAACATAATACACATACTTTATATATGTATCAATTCTTTAAAGAAATGTTGATTATTGAATATCAAAAGAAGTTTGCAAACGTCGATTTTATTAGTCTTCATATTTTAAAATCCCGAATGAAATATTTTTTAGCTAAATGTTAGTATTTAACTAAAACAGACAGGATGTAGGACTACTCTGTAACTGGAAACTAATTTAACTTAAATTTCAAGTGACACCAAATTAGCTCCTATTATACATCCTAACTAGAAGAATAGATTTCAGTTAACAGGAATAGAAGGTAAAGTCAACCATACCATATTTCTCAGCATCTTTTCTCAATGATCCATCTGCATGGTGTCCATCGGAGTGAGATCAATCTGAGAGGGGTCCATTCAAGTGTGATCTATGTGAGTGTGGTCCATGCAAGTGTGATCTATGTGAGTGTGGTCCATCTGAGAGGGGTCCATTCAAGTGTGATCTATGTGAGTGTGGTCCATCTGAGAGGGGTCAATGCAAGTGTGATCTATGTGAGTGTGGTCCATCTGAGAGGGGTCCATTCAAGTGTGATCTATGTGAGTGTGGTCCATCTGAGAGGGGTCCATTCAAGTGTGATCTATGTGAGTGTGGTCCATCTGAGAGGGGTCAATGCAAGTGTGATCTATGTGAGTGTGGTCCATCTGAGAGGGGTCCATTCAAGTGTGATCTATGTGAGTGTGGTCCATCTGAGAGGGGTCCATTCAGGTGTGATCTATGTGAGTGTGGTCCATCTAAGAGGGGTCCATTCAAGTGTGATCTATGTGATTGTGGTCCATCTGAGAGGGGTCCATTCAAGTGTGATCTATGTGAGTGTGGTCCATCTGAGAGGGGTCCATTCAAGTGTGATCTATGTGAGTGTGGTCCATCTGAGAGGGGTCCATTCAAGTGTGATCTATGTGAGTGTGGTCCATCTGAGAGGGGTCCATTCAAGTGTGATCTATGTGAGTGTGGTCCATCTGAGAGGGGTCCATTCAAGTGTGATCTATGTGATTGTGGTCCATCTGAGTGTGGTCCATGCAAGTGTGATCTATGTGAGTGTGGTCCATCTGAGAGGGGTCCATTCAAGTGTGATCTATGTGAGTGTGGTCCATCTGAGAGGGGTCCATGCAAGTGTGATCTATGTGAGTGTGGTCCATCTGAGAGGGGTCCATTCAAGTGTGATCTATGTGAGTGTGGTCCATCTGAGAGGGGTCCATGCAAGTGTGATCTATGTGAGTGTGGTCCATCTGAGAGGGGTCCATTCAAGTGTGATCTATGTGAGTGAGATCCATCTGAGATGAGGTCCATTCAAGTGTGATCTATGTGAGTGAGATCCATCTTATCCAAAGTGAGGGAGCCTATATCATCAGACTATTCTATCTATAGAAATGCTCATATGATGTGTAACAAAGAAAGAATTAAGGAAGCTATCAAATGTATACTGATGTAATGTAGCAGTTCCCCTTCAAGGAAGTCTCCACCTGGCTCATGTACAACCTGTAGAAAGAAGAATAGAATTAGGCCTACAATTAAATAGTACACTAACATCATACATAAAGTTTGTCTTCTCGAACTCTAAAGGAAGTGTAAACTGTATTAGCTATCTCATCTTCTAAGCAGTGGGTCTTAACTTTTTTTGGGGTACTTTATATACACATTCACCAGACCTTTCATAATAGGAAAAATTAAATACTTTTTTTTCTTCCAAATTCAAAACATAGGGAAATTCTATATAATTTACTGGTGCATAAAATGAGCCCTATATCAAAATCACGGTGTTCAAAATACAATATTACAAATCTCTGATTTTGACCCAAAAAACAAAATAATGAATAGTTACTGCTGTTGGCTTTTAGAAACCAATTCAGAAATTTGC